TCATCTGTGGACACAACTGTACAGTCAGTCTGGTTTAAAGCTTTGGTGAAAATTTCCTGTATTTAATGTGACTGAAAAAGATTTGAAGTTTAGACCAGGAAGTGTGTGTGTGTGTGTGTGTGTGCAGTGCATTCCAATATAGTTGGTTGTGTGTGTGTGTGTGTGTGTATATATATATATATATATATATATATATACACACACACACACAAACACAGTATAAATATATACTTTTTTTTCTCTTTTCTTTTCTTTTCAAGAAGCACACGCCCCTACTACCTCACCAGACCACAAATGGTGCACACTACAGCTTGGCTTCACCTTTAGCATGTGCAAACCGATGCAATGACGTACATGAAACAACCACTTGTTTACAAAGTGACAACTCACCAGAGTGTGTCGGCTAGTTGAAAATTTGATTTTGATATATATATATATATATACACTCACAACATAACATAAACTACCTCATGTCTAGCTCAGCACTGTACATAGAGATTAAGAAGACGCCAATCAGGTTCAAACTGGACTTCAAAATTTAACATTCGGTGATTAACATCAGGACTAATTGTTTACACTGACCAATCAGAGGTGCCTTAAGCGACCCAGTGGGCATCATAACATGACGTGTTTGAACTGGAAAACCGCCTCACACTTTCCTTAGACGCACGTCAACAGTTTACGTCTGAATAACAGCACTTTGATGATATGGGACTATTTCTGTTTCGAGATGTCAGGTGCAGAGCCAATGGAGGTAACGCTGAAAGACTGTTGTGTCACCGTAGCTGCATCTCCTGGCAACAACGTAAACGTCCACCGTCACAGCTGTATGATGACTAACACAGGCCCCTGTACCAGAGCCAGTTGGAGAATTTCAGATTATGTATCGTTTGAGTCTCTTAAAAATGTCTTTAAGGTAACAGACATCATTATAACCCACTATCTCACTAAAGAGAACGTGTCCATTCGCACTACACCTTCAACTAAAAGGTGACTAATATTTTCCAAAATACTTTTTTGATTTAAGCATTTATTTATTTTAAGAACAAGCCAGATGTGAATCAGTGCAGATGACACATCACATTTGATCCTAATAGACAAGAACACCGGTGAACTTTTAGTTTGAAATCATTTAAAATAACCTGACACACAAAAAATGTAAACAATTTTCTGTGAATGCTCATCTACACTGAGTGTGAGTTTTCTCTCTGAAGGGTCATGAGATAAGAGCGTAAACACACAATGTTGTGGTTTAACTACAGTCATGTGTCATGCATAGGAAGAAAGGCCAAATTTGCGTCATCAAACTTTTTTTTCTCAAGTTCGTCTGAGCGGCGAGAGCTTATCAGTTCCAGTTCTAGCAGCATCAAAGCCAAACGACTCCCTCCGCATTTATCTGCTGTCGAACAGACAGAAAACCACACAATTACGTTGGTAACCGTTGATGTCACAAAGTCCTGGTTTGTGATGCTTTCTCAAGGTTAAAGTAGTGTTTTCTTGCATCTACTTCAGGACAGAAATGTGTTTCTGAAAACCCAGTGAAACAAAAAACTGTTTCCGCAACAATTCTTTTTATTTAAAGTTATTATGAACGAACTCTGTCACAGCAGAGAAAATTTCCCGCTGAAAGACAGAAGATGAAATAACTCTGACTTCACAATCAACACTACATAAAGTTTTCTTATACATGTTTTGGAATCTAACTTTTCTTATTCAATAAAAATGTTTAGTTAAAATAAAAAAGATTTAGCATAATCTTAAGTGATTATTAGTAAATTGTGCATATTTTATATATAAAAAAAAACTTTATTTGTATTTCTGAAAACCACACCAGCTACGACCACCGACAAAAAAAAAACAAAAAAACGTTGTGTCAACTCATGTAATACTTCTGTTCTGATTCCTGTATGAAACTAACGCGAATAGTCTCCCCGGTCTACTGCAGGTCACACGTACACACCGACAGATGAGGGAATGAATCTGGAGAGTGTTGGAAGATCAAGGAAAGAATAAATTATGAGTTATTATTAGATAATCAAACTAGTTTGGGTTTGGTTTTTCAGGTTGTTTCATCGCATAAATGAATGTGACCCTTAATCTGCAAACAGCCTGAAACACAAGGAAGTGGAAAAACAACTGCTGGAAATGGTACAACGTAGACAGGGTGGATGTACATTTTTAGTTCTCTTATCAATTCTGAGCGCTCTGGAAGGACACAGAAACAATGCACTCCAAAAGACCGCTGTGCACAAACCTACTAACAGAGCTGGGGGACAAAACAATCGCCAATGACATGGGGACAGAGCCGTCTGTGTCAAGATACAACACAATGATAGGAGAATAATGAATCCTGTTGGATATACTGTATATTACTACAAGTACAGAAGGAAACATTACTAGAGCTTTTCTTTATGCACACTTCAACATGGGCCAGTATTATGGTAAACTACACCTAAAAAAAGTTTGAAAGTTGTAAGCAGACCAAACGGGTACCATGTACCATCGTTTTCACTGTTTATCCTTCACACATGCTCAGTGCGAGCAGCAAACAGAAGAGTTGGTCATCTGTGTGTGTGACAACGACTGATTGACTTCACATGAGCGACCCTCATCACACTGTACTGCATTCAAAGTCCGCTGCATTCAATGTGACGCTCATAGTTTTTACCTGACATTTTGTAACATAATTAAAAATTATATAATACAATCTATATTTTTTATAAGTGTTAATACCTACATATGACTTATTTTCACAATATCTGAGTGATAAACAAGCCTTTTTACACAGCAATAAAGTTTAGATGGGATCCTCTAGATCAGTGGTGTCAAACTCAAATTCAGAGTGGGCCAAAATTAAAAACTGGGACAAAGTCATGGGCTAAACTTAATATTTATTTATTGAAAAATGGATGGCAATTGTGCATGTTTCCCTTCTCTTTAGATATGTAATGTAGATTTTTAAAATAAAACATGTATCAGTAGTATTTGTTTCTTATTGTGTCTCTTTATCTGTAGCCTTTTGAGTCCCTTTTTGATGTAAATCTATAAAACAAAAATGCTATAACATAGCGCTTACACAATACTAGAAATCCTGCCAGTATACAGAGGCTATATACTAGCAGGCCAACTAGTACATATTTGATATGATCTTGCTGGTCAAATCTAACTATACGGTGGGCCAGATTTGACCCCCAGGCCTGAGTTTGACACGTGTGCTCTAGATGATGCAGTATTCAGTAAACAACAAAACTTACCAACCTGACATTTGAAAACATTCGAATTGCCAAATTAAGATTTTTCTGTATTTAGAAATAATTAAACTGTATTCAAACGGAATAGACCTTACTGAACGTAGTTACACACGTCATAAGTTAATTCAATTTTTAGAAGAGAAAGGAAAGCACATGACCAAACCATTTCTACATAGAAAGGTCTTGTTTGAATTTTGTGAAAAACACAATTGAATGTTTTTTCTTCAATTTTCAATAGTGGAGCCTATCAATTAGCTTCTCCGTGACGTCTATGAAGCATCGCGGTGTGGTGTGAAGCTGCTTGTGTTTACGCAGACTGGTTTCTGGTGTCTTTTCTATAGGTCTTGTGTACACTCAAGCTATATGTGGACAGATCATGTCTTTGTTTTTATGTGGAACCATATTGTAGGCCACATCATCCTTAAGATGACTTTTTTTGGTTTTCAAAATGCTTGATGGCCAGCACAATGGCATTGACAAACTCGTACATAACAAAAAATGATTTACTTTAATATAGATACACCAAGAAACTACATATATATATAAATTATATTTTTTAATTAATATTAAATAGTATGTAGTATGCTTACTGTACTTTCAAACTATAGGTACTGTTTAGTAACCTCTAGCATCAGACACCAGTCACTCCAATGAAAATTTACAGGTACGTTAAAAAATGGCGTGGTCTGTCACATCATGACCTTAACGTTGGGGGGTGGGGGGCGTCAGTGTTTATATTTATTTCCTTTATAAACATTTTAGAAAATATCATAAAATGCTACACACATGAACTGGGTAGTGAGGACTGTATTGCTCTCAGTGTGTGCTCTACTGCATTTGGAAGTAACCTAGTCTGTAGATGGAGTCATGTAACGTCAGGTGACCTTTTCACAACATTTTTCATTTTAAGGATCATGTGATTTGAGGGGCAAGAGCTGTAATTTTTCCATTGATCCTCAGTTCCAAAAAGAAATATCATCTTGAAAAAAAATACCAGGTTGAAAGAGAGAAAAAGAATAAAGAAAGACAAACAGTTGGGAAAGTGGACACCGTGTGTAGATGAGGGTATAACATCCAATTGAACTGGACGTGTGGGGCCGTCATGAGGTGAGAAACATGTTTTAGGGCAATGATGTTGAACTCTGAAGTTGCAGGCTATAATTTGGTGATCAAGCCAAAATTTGCATTCAGTCCCACCAAAATAATTATCCTAATTTATTGACATCGTCTATTTTTGACAAAAATTGGCTTGCTATTCATATATAACTATTCCACATAGGTATGACCTGTAAACATGAAACCGATTTGACAGAATTGCTAGAAGATTTTCTTCTTTTTTTTTTTATAAACTGGTGAAAATAACTTGGACTTGCACTTAAACCATGTCACTTCCTTTTAGCAAAGCATTTTCATCTGTGGATTTAACTCTAAAAACAATAATAATTAAAAATATTTAAAAAATATTATTTATAAATAAATAAACAAACAAAACTTGACTATACCACGTCTCCTCATTGAAGCATCTTCAGTCATGCCCTTGTTTTGTTGTGTCCTAGAAACGTATTTATTTACACGTTTGTAAAACTAAGACTTGAGTTAAGGGAACCAAGAGGATAACGTCTGACTTAACTTTTTTTTATATACAATCAGATGATAAAGACGGTGATACACAAATCGACCATCAGCCGATCAGTATTGATCCTAGACACATCAGTGGACTGACTGTAGTCCTGTACGAGGAGCACCTACCTGTTCTCTGGATATACAGGGTAACGAGGGTCTGCGAGGCATTTTACAACTGCCATAATAACTGGTCGACGTTTCCCCCAGTGAGACACAGCTGGACCTCCTCCTTGATCGGATCACTGGGACTTTTTCCTCCGCACTGGAAGTGCTACTCGAGGCTTCCTTCAACGGGTAGTAACGGTCAAACGTGAGCCCCAGCAGGCAGCCGGAGAGCCCGGCGAGGCAGGCGAAGAGCGGGCTGAGCAGAGCAGGCAGTCCGCTCAAACTTGTGAAAGAGACCAACCATACCAGGCTGGCAAAGACCAGTACAAGAACACTGTGTTTGAGTTTGAGTGTGGGAATCAGTGTTAGCAGACCCACACATCCCAGCACGAAGAACAACCTGCCCACCATTTGCATCTGGTGCTGCTCCTCTCCCCACTGCAAAAACCGCAAAACCAAGAAATCCCCGAGGAAACACGAGGCTGGCAGCGACACTAGCCAACATTTGCTCCCCTCTTTCCTTTTCCTCCGCAGGTAAAACGTCAGAAAGAAGAAAGCACATCCTATGCTGAACAGAGGGCTGGCGGACTGCGAGAAGCCCCACAAAAAAGTCCGCAAATCCCACAGCGAGTCACTTTGCAAGCTCTTGGAAATCAGGAGAGAAACCGCGAAGATGACAAACGCGCCGACGTAGAGCGCGGAGACCTTCAACAGTTTGGAATCGAGAACATCTTCGTTGCAAATCCTGCACACGTTTAACCAAAATCCCCACTGGTGGTCCTGTTTGAGGGGGGTGACGCAGCTCTTCACATAGCCGTTCCTGAAACCCTCCGAGCTGTTTACACGTCCAGAGCTGTCGTGGTGCCTTGTTTTACCGTGCAGGACCTCTCCTTCCTCCCGTGCAGCCATGGCTCGACTATGGCTCCACGTTTCCCCTCGAAACTTCCCTCGGCTGCTACTCTTCACGCCGTGTTAACGCTCGACTACATGACAGCGAACGCACTTCATGGTCACTCAAACGTGCTCCAGCACTTGGACTAAAGAAAGAAGGTGAGGTGTTGTTTTTGCACAAAATCGACCTCATTGTCGCCCCCTATGGGCCACAACCCAGAACCTCAGGAATGTGATGGGATAAATGTGGCGCTCTTGACCCACTCCTAAACTGTAAACATAGAAACGTCCCTGTAAGGTTTGCATTAGAACTCATTGCATATATGAAAAAAAATCACTATTTTTCCACAGACATTATTTTAAAAGTGACAAAATCACATTTTCAGCGTCTCAATAAAACCGATTAAATAATGTGCATATAAGCGTTCTCCCTCACACCATTACCTCACTCGGCGTACTGACATTCGATTGGTTATTTGGTGCTCACGTGATCTATGGCGTCAAAGTATTTAGGAAGTGTTTTCATTAATGTATTTAAATTAAAGTAAAACAAATGCACTAAAATATACTGCAATTTATCATGTTAATTTTAAAACCTCCATATATTGGTCTTTTAGAACATAAAGGTTCCGGTCTGATGTAAAGAGGTGTATGTCCCTCTAGTTTATAATTGATATACTATATGAAAATTTTATAAACTATTATGTAGTGTAAAAGAATATATAGGGGAAATATGTAGGCATTGTATTTTTCATTTGGTTTTGTAGGGAATCGTCGAAACTAAAATAATAAATAAGTAAATTTGCGCGAAATGCAATAAACCAAGTATAATATTTCATTTTATATCAAATAAAACAAGGTTAAATTGTTCGATTACGAGAATGATAAATTGGGGGTTATATTAACACCGATTGTTATGTTTCCTTTTTAAATCCCAGACTGCCTTTCGCATTTCCCTTTTCATTGATTTATTTAAAATAAAATTTATATTTTCTATATTTCCTATATTTTTAGTTAGTATATTATTTAATTTATTCGCTGATTCAGAAAACTGTTTAACGAACAAAAACTTTACGATGCTTTGCCTTTTTATTCCACTAGATGTCGTACTTATTTAATGCGTCTTGTAATATTTTCCATGCAATACACATCTACCAACGTATAATTAGTGTGGATGTTTAATTACAAAGTAAATTATTTTAGCAAAAAATATGGTAAGATACAGTATGTGCATTACTGTGGCTAAAACTGTTTAACATAAAGTAACTACGTACTTACATATTTTATATATAAATATGGACCTCAAACAACCCTTTCAGTTTTCGAGTTAATATATGGTAGTATGTATCATTTACATAAATATTATACACAGTTTTAAGGTATTTGTATTTAAAGCAAATTCAGACAACTAATTTCCTCCAGCTGTGTAGCCACATAGAGGCAGTGTTCCCCGGCCATATTTGAATTTAGACTTTAAAATTAAAATGGTTGGAAAGGTTTTTGGAACTACCTACTTAACTGAGCTCCTTCATTTACTTTAAAACCTGTTTAAGAAAAAAGGAGTGTTTAGGGGTTATATAGTGCTGAATACACCTGTTTAAAGCTTTTACACAGTTCAGAACATAATTGATGTTAAGTGAAGCAAACAATGATAGCACCAGCTTTCAAATGCACAGTATGTATTTTAGAAGACTAAACGGAAAGACCAAGGAAAATCAAATATTTATTTTCGAATGAATGACCAACAATGTTTGTTTTTTCAAAGCGCGTCTGTAAAGTTTGAACCTTCTGCCACACTGTAGGAGTGATGTGGCTCGGAGAGTGATCTTCCACGTCAGTAGGAAGTGGAGCGGCGACAGCTCGACCGAAGGAGGTTTTCCTTCCTACAGATGTAAATATCCACAAACTAGGATATTCGGGGTCACTTTGTTGGAAACAAGACGTGCACTTGGGTGAGGCATATAGTAATTTTTCTATTAACACGAGTGATCTGTATTTTCTTGAGCTGTGAGAACTGTACATTAAACTAGCTAACGTTACCGTCCTCCATTTCACTGTGTGTCAGCGCATACGCTATCCTAGTTAGCAGGTTAGCATTCACACATTCTGCACAATTTAGGGAAATTCAAAGATTTCGTTATTGGTTACTGTATTCATTACTTCATTACAGGTTTTGTCTACACAGTTGTATTGTAGTTTAAGGTTAGATCATTTATGTTTTTATCCTTCCGCTGCCTTTGCAGGCTGCGGTGCGGTTCTTATGGTGCTAACACTGCGTGTAAAGGTCTGTTGTATTATGACAGAAAAATATTTTCTACCATCAGTATACGGTAGACGTGATTACATTCCGAGTGGTTTTAAGTATTACTCATTAAAACCTCCAAACATGTAGAGAGAATTGACGCCGTCGCGAAACATTTGAGCTGTCGATTGAATGAAAACTTCGATCAATGATTACATAAAGTAGTTCTTAAATATGTCGCTATGTGTACTGGAGTTAAGTAACAACCCTCCTCTATCTACGCTATGCTAAGTTGCTAAGAGGCTTAATAATCCTCAGTAGATTTGTATTCACCTGCTCTATTACAACTAAAAGCATCTGCCTAACCACGTCAATGGCGTCAAATGTGACAGCAGGATTTTATTAATTCAATTAAGCCTCTACTGCTCATCCTTTCCTTTACTACATTATCGCCATTGTCTAGACACGTCAGTGACTCTTTTTACCTTCTCTCTGCTCAACTAGAGATTCACTAGATCAGTGGTTCTCAAATTGTGGAACACGTCCCACTGGTGGTACGCAAGCGCTCTCTAGTGGTACGTGGGGAAAATTAATACTTTCACATTACATTTTCAAATGAATAAATCTGAAACATACCATGCATAATTAATACAACATTTAAACAAATATTTCTAAACATCTCTCCTGTGGTGGAAGCTAATAGAGAAGGCCTATGATGCTATATTCTAATGTTGGTCATCATGGCTGTACTCAGAGAGCTCAATGTTTTCTCATGTGGTACAGAGTAGAAAAAGTGGAGAACCACTGCACTAGATGTGATGTCCTGGCTTGATACATTCGAAATCTAATTCTCTTACTTCTGTCAGTTTTACAGTTGTACAGTTGATTTAATGTTACGTCTCAAGTCTACATCCACCAGAAATTATATACTATTGACTTGTCAACGTAACAGTTTTTCTTTGTTTAGCTTCAGTTGCTTTCAGGGATCTACAAATCTTGCACTATTTTTAATATTTGCCCTACAGAGCAACGTGTGTGTATGCTATATATTGGCTATATAATAATTTACATTCTTCTGTTTCTCATAGGTGTTATCCTGTGTTGTCATTTATTGGATTCTCCGTCACAAATAGGGGCCTGGCAGCAAAATGACGGCTGCAGAGAATGTTTGTTACACTCTGATCAATGTTTCATCTGACTCAGAACCCCCCTCTGAAGTCAGTCTGAAAACAGATCTAGGTAAAAAAACAAAAAAAAAACAATTTGACATTTCAATGCATACTTCCTCCTCTCTATCCAATTATTTTTAAATACTTTTCTTGTAAACACATCTGCTACATATATAGGGGTGTAGTTTCACATTTACCTTTCATTGTAATTAACCTAAACTTCTCCCATAGAAAAAGGGGAGATCAAGGCAAAGACTGAGGCCCTGAAGAAGGTCATCATCATGATCCTTAATGGTGAGAAGTTGCCAGGGCTACTGATGACCATCATCCGCTTTGTGCTGCCACTTCAGGACCACACTATAAAGAAGCTCCTGCTTGTGTTTTGGGAGATTGTTCCCAAAACCACTCCTGATGGCAAGCTGCTGCAGGAGATGATCCTGGTTTGTGATGCCTACAGGAAGGTGAGCTTGAAAAGTTCTGACCAAACTTTTGCTTGTAATATATGTTGGTCTTATAATATCATCTTAGCCATGTTAGAGACGTTTATTCATCAAAATAACTTTCTTTAAATTTTAGGATCTGCAACACCCTAACGAGTTCATCCGTGGCTCCACCCTGCGCTTCCTGTGCAAACTGAAGGAGTCTGAGTTGCTGGAGCCCCTCATGCCCGCAATCAGAGCTTGTCTGGAGCACCGTCACAGCTATGTGCGCCGAAATGCAGTCCTGGCAATTTACACCATCTATAGGTATAGTTTAACTAAGTAGTATAAACTTTAAAAAAAAATTACTGCTGTTTTTATGCCATGGATAAGCAATAAATGATTTTTCTTTTTGTAGGAATTTTGAACACCTTATTCCTGATGCACCAGAGCTGATCCACGACTTCCTTGTTAATGAGAAAGATGCCAGCTGTAAGAGAAATGCTTTCATGATGCTGATTCATGCAGATCAGGTCTGTTGTAACACATTTCATGATCTCCTTCATTTCTGTGCAGCTAATAAAAAGTTTAACCCTAAAGTTTAACCCTTCTCTCACATTTTCAGGATCGAGCCCTGGATTACCTCAGCACTTGTATCGACCAAGTCCACACCTTTGGTGACATTCTTCAGCTGGTCATTGTGGAGCTCATTTACAAAGTCAGTTCAAACCCTTTATAATGTAGACTCAAGTCTCAACTTTCTTGTCACAGTATCAGTATCAGTTTGCTGTTTGTACCCATTGTCTTTAGGTCTGCCATGCTAACCCCTCTGAGCGTGCCCGGTTCATCCGCTGCATATACAACCTGCTGCAGTCCTCCAGCCCAGCTGTGAAGTATGAAGCTGCTGGAACTCTTGTAACACTATCGAGTGCTCCCACAGCCATCAAGGTATATCAATGAGAATCAGAGACATAAGGGAACTCATATTACCTGTATTTGACCCTAGGTTTAGTATAGTGTCTCATGCACCTTTCTTTGTGTGCCCCAGGCTGCTGCACAGTGCTACATTGATTTGATCATTAAGGAGAGCGACAACAATGTGAAGCTGATTGTTCTCGATCGCTTAATTGAACTGAAGGACCATCCCACTCATGAGCGTGTTCTCCAGGTAAAAACTGTGCTAAAAACTCAAATTCTTAAATTAACCAAGATTTTAACACCCAGAATGCTTACATTTTATATCTAAGGTGCCAATAAAATAAAGATACAAAATAATGCTAATGGTGTTTTTTTGGATCCAGGACCTGGTGATGGACATTCTGCGTGTTCTCACCACTCCTGACCTGGAAGTCAGAAAGAAGACCTTGCAGCTGGCACTGGACCTTGTCTCCTCCCGTAACGTAGAAGAGGTCAGTTTCATCCAAGTACTGTACATAGATGTGTTTCAACTCCTATGCTAATTATGCAGCATGTTTGTACTGGTTAAAACACAAGAAGAACATGAAGGAAAAATATATATTTTTTATATTATATTTTTATATTAAGTTTTTTATAAGTAATATTCTGGTGAGTGAATTTGTTACCCCAGAAGCACTAGATGGTAAATACTGCACAGGTACTTCTGTACACAGTAATTGTGCAGAAGAATTCAATCATATGAATGTGTGGTGGTGTTAGAAGCTTATAATAAAAATGAAGCAGTGCAATTAGGTCCCCAATTCAGAATGGAAATCTAAGGTATTGAATCTTACCTAAGTTTGAATGATGTGAACATATCCTTAAGTTCTCATGTAGACCACAGGAGCCCAGTTATTATGTGGCTGCTGCAAAGACAAATCTAATGTACTACATCAGTAGTGACCTGTTTTTTTTATTGTTATATTGCAGCTAGTGATTGTTTTGAAGAAAGAAGTGATCAAAACAAACAACGTGACAGAACACGAAGACACTGATAAGTACAGGCAGCTGTTGGTGCGAACTCTCCATTCCTGCAGCGTCCGCTTCCCTGACATGGCAGCCAATGTCATACCTGTGGTAGGACTCTCAATTTCTGTGTGAACTCCTTGAGACAAAGCCTGTTTTCACATGTTTATTCATAATTATAATTTTCTGTTTTGTCTGTGATGCTTCACAGCTCATGGAATTTTTAAGTGACACTAATGAGGCAGCTGCAGCCGATGTGCTGGAGTTTGTACGAGAGGCTATTCAGAGATTCGACAGTTTGAGACCCCTCATCATCGAGAAGATGCTGGAAGTCTTCCACGCTATTAAAACTGTCAAGTAAGGCTTTGAGGTCTTATTTTGTTTTTTTAATGCTCTAAGGCATTTGTTTGGTTTATATTAATTAGGATTCAGGAAAAAAAGTTCTCAAGTTCTGGTGTCATTTCTGTGTGCCAGGATTTACAGGGGAGCTCTGTGGATCCTGGGAGAATACTGCAGCACCAAAGATGACATACAGAATGTGATGACAGAAGTACGCAGGTCACTGGGAGAGGTAGGACTGTTCGTATTCTCAAATCACACATCTGCAGTTATTATTGTAGTCAGTTAAAATGCCTGTGGTTTATTTTGTTTAGATACCAATTGTAGAAAATGAGATAAAGAAAGAGACCGGGGAGGTAAAGCCAGAGGATGAAGTAAGTGCAGCTCCAGCCCAGAAACTGGTGACAGAGATGGGCACCTACGTCACACAAAGTGCTCTTAGCTCCTCCAGACCTTCAAAAAAAGAGGAAGACAGGTAAAAGAAATGGACATCATCATCGACAGCCCATGGTGTTTTACAATCCACCTGACCAAGTTAACACTGATATTTTACTCATTATTCTAGACCTCCACTGAGAGGCTTCCTGATGGACGGGGACTTCTACGTCGCAGCTTCCCTGGCCACCACCCTAACCAAACTGGCTCTGCGCTATGTTGCTATTGTTCAGGACAAAAAGAAACAAAATGTGAGGAGTTACTTCTTTGCTTAACAAAGAAAAATCACTGACTAATCAATGTCTATTTTTATTTTCCTCTAACCTATGTTTCCATGTGTTTGCCTTTAGTCCTTTGTCGCTGAGGCCATGCTGATCATGGTCACTGTGCTACATCTGGGCAAGTCCTCTCTGCCCAAAAAGCCAATTACAGACGATGACGTGGACCGCATCTCGCTTTGCCTGAAGGTCCTCTCAGAGTGCTCCCCCCTTATGAATGACATTTTCAACAAAGAGTGCCGCAAGTCCCTGTCACACATGCTGACTATCAGGCTGGAGGAAGAGAAGCTGTCGCAGAAGGTAATGACAGCTGACAGGGTCATCATATGTATGTGAGATCCTCCAACGTACTTGGTTAAAATGTTGACTCAGAATTCTGTTTTTCTTTGTTCCTTGGTCATTTTTGTTTGGCTTGACTATGGCCATGTTCATTTTCCGTGCCAACAGTGTATTGTTGTTTTTTTTGTCTACAGAAAGAGTCTGAGAAGCGTAATGTCACAGTGCAGGCAGACGACCCCATCTCCTTCATGCAGCTCACAGCCAAAAATGAAATGACCTCTAAAGAGGACCAGTTCCAGCTCAGCCTCCTGGCTGCTATGGGCAACACTCAGAGGAAGGAAGCTGCTGATCCACTGGCTTCAAAGCTCAACAAGGTGATTTATAAGAAAATCTCCTGCAAATCTCAGTTATAATCATTTATGTTTAAACTGAATGATGAATAATTTTATTTCTTTCATTTAGGTGACTCAGCTAACTGGTTTCTCGGACCCTGTATACGCAGAAGCCTATGTTCATGTCAATCAGTATGACATTGTGTTGGATGTGCTGGTGGTCAACCAAACCAGTGACACTCTCCAGAACTGCACATTAGAGCTGGCCACATTAGGTCAGTGGAGTCACAGGGTTCCTCCTGTATTTAATCAGATTCAAAGAGCCCAGGTGTAATTACATTTCAAAGTGGTGGTAACAAAAGGGTTTGTTTGTTTTACAAAGGTGATCTGAAGCTGGTGGAGAAACCTTCTCCCCTAACTCTGGCTCCTCACGATTTTGCAAACATCAAGGCTAACGTCAAAGTGGCTTCAACTGAAAATGGCATCATATTTGGCAACATTGGTGAGAGGCGAACTTCTGTTCTTGTTGCTCGATTCTGCCATTGTGTAGCCTTGAGTGTTGTCTGAGGATTGTCTGATTCTGTTTCAAGTGTACGACGTGTCGGGGGCTGCCAGCGACAGAAACTGCGTGGTCCTCAGTGACATCCACATTGACATTATGGACTACATCCAGCCAGCTTCCTGCACAGATGCAGAGTTCAGACAGATGTGGGCAGAGTTTGAATGGGAGAACAAGGTTTGTTCTGTGTTTATGCGCTGAACAGCGAACATATTTTATAAAGTGCATTTAAAAAATGAATAAAAACTATTCTGAAATGCTTTTGTTTTTTTAGGTGACCGTGAACACCAATATCATTGATCTGAACGAATATCTTCAGCACATCCTTAAATCCACCAACATGAAATGTCTGACGCCTGAGAAGGTTAATATGACATACAGGACATGAAACTATTCACTGATATTAGCTTATTTTTGTGCTGTGCCCTGAAAACAAATGGAAAATGTATCATTGTTTATTAAACAGGCGCTGTCTGGCTTCTGCGGCTTCATGGCTGCCAACCTTTATGCTCGTTCTATCTTTGGGGAAGATGCTCTGGCCAATGTCAGCATCGAGAAGCCCATCCACCTGGGCCCCGATGCACCAGTCAATGGACACATACGCATCAGAGCCAAGAGTCAGGTGGGTCACAGCTGCTGGACAAACAAACAAGCAATGATGTAAAAAAACAAAAGGGCATTAGCTTGGCATGGGTGCAGTTCCACAGATCTATGTTTGTTTTTACTCGGTTAATACATTTAACCTGTTTTAATATCCTTTCCCACCTTATTTTCACAGGGGATGGCTTTAAGCCTAGGAGACAAAATCAACCTTTCCCAGAAGAAGATGACCATCTGACAGGCCTCCAATCCAGCACACCCTCTTTCAGTACAGCAAATTATGAAGTCTATATGATTAAATTGCTTGTGCTTCTTTTGTTATCATTATTGTCAGCATCTATGCCACAGTCATGTCCTTGTCTTTTTTTCTTTACAATAAACATAAACAAAGTTTGTGTTAATGCTGTTATTTGAGTCATTATTACTGCAACTGTAGATGGTTAAGCTGTATGATTTCAATTTTTAAATAAAGAAACTTGTATTGACATGCTCTTTGTTAAATTCTAACATATAAATAAACACTATGTTGTTTGTAAAAATTAAATTCTAACATATAAATAAACACTAATTATGTTGTTTGTAAAATAGAAAAGAAAAACGACAGGCGACAAGGTATATGTGAATATAATATTTAAAAAATAATTCTTGCCCTAAGGCAGGGGTGTCAAACATATGGCCCGTGGGTCAAAATCGGCCCACTTGGGGTTGCAATCTGGCCTGTTTGATGAATTTTGAAAATAAAGAAATACACAAACCCAATCATGTTGAGGAAATGTTTTTTTAAATTATATTTTCATTAAATGTGAGAATTTGTTTAATGTACTTTTTTGCATGAAAACAAAGGGGAAAAGACAGACTATTTGATATTTAAAGGTAATTGTGTTACAATTGTACCGGTCCCGCCCACTTGAACCAAAATGAGTTTGACACCCCAGCCCTAAGGTATTTTACCCTTGGTTGTCACTTTCTTGTTGCTCTTGTCATACACTAGAGGGCAGTGTGGTTCCTATAAATGCTTTACACTTAGGTCGTGTCACCACCGCACGTAAGATTGAGCCAAGTGTCACACAATTTCACAATGTTTATTTTGCCATTTCAGTTACACAGACTGGAGAATAATCTCCCCCTCCTCCCCAGCCTTGTGATCTACAGTAACAACGCTAACTGGACACTCCACTCCACGATGACGTCATTATGACACCATCACCTCAGCCCCTATCTTCCCTTGTATTCATAACAAATATCAACAAAGCAGCTTTATTTAGTCACTTATCAATTATTGTTTATCCGACATTTTAACCCTTGAAAATTCCCCTTAGAGTTCTCAAGGTTCTATGTTTACTTTATACTTTTAACTATGAGTGGACGACACAAAATTAGAGCTTACACAGAAAGAAACATTTACGAAATATATTATTATTAATAATATTATTATTAATATATTATTATATTATAAATATATTATATTGCAATTTAATTTTATATTTATATTATTTATATTTTTTATATTTATGTGGTGGTTTTTTAATGTTTTTTTAATATTTATCCTTTTTTTGTTAATATGATGTTTTAGCATTTTGGTACATTGTTGTTGTACAGCTGAAAAATCAGGCTTTATTTGTCACCAGATCCCCATGCTAAATATGCGGCTTGTAAGTGTTTTGATCAAGTGAAGGGATAGAAAAAAGTAATGTTGTACCAACACACCCAACTCAAGCAACGGGATATTACATCTGCCTTCATAGCACCCTCTGCAGGGAACGTTAGGAGTCATTTATATCAACAATATGAACACTGAAGGATGAGCAACTTTACATGTCGAACTGTATATGGCAGGAACAGCAGTGGAAATGTTTGTATATTTGTAAACACGTAAGGAATATTGTGAAAACTACAGTAAAACTATTAGCGGACTAATATAGTGATACTGCTGGTCCTGGTGAACCTCCTGACATAACCTGGAGCAAGTGGTCATGGCTTTATTAAAATAGCTGTGGAAAAAAAGTGTGTGTGCGCGCGCGCGCGTTCGTGCATGTGATGCTCGGCAGTCAGTCACACACACACACACACAGCCTGTAGAGGGGCCCCTAGCGCCAGCCCTCAGTACTGGTCTGGCTGATTACTCCCACTGGTGGATCCAGATCTCTGACTATCGCAGTGTTTTGTCGGAGGCTGAAACACGCTCACACGTATGGACAGTGACTCGTAGCTCCGCCACCAAGACTCTGTCTCCACCCGTGCACACTTACTCACCAGACCGCACCGACCGACCGCCTAGTGGCTTCTGTTCGCTGTCCGGCGTCACCTCTGCGGGGCCTCCTCAGTTTTGACGAGAGAAAAGTGGGTGTTTGCTGTTCACTGGTGTTCCGGCGGCGGCGGAGGCGGCGGCGGCAGCAACAGCGGCGGCGGCGGCACAGAGCCCAGAGAAGTGTCCTCGATGGCAGGCTGGAAGGACGGCTCGGTGCAGGAGAAGTATCGGCTGGTGGTGGTCGGAGGCGGTGGTGTCGGGAAATCAGCCCTGACTATTCAGTTCATTCAGGTCAGTGTGGTAAAGCTTTGGTTTTGATTTCACTATTTATTCAAAAACACAGAGAAGGAGGGAACGGGAGAATGAGAAGAAGGAGGAGGAGGAGGCCAGACATGGGAGCCCGGTTAGCGGAGACCGGGCGCTGTTTTCCACTCCGTTACTTTGCCGAGGCCTGGAACTATTTAGCAGTGGGTGTTTTTGAGGAGGTGCGAGGACAGGGGTTCGAGGATGTTTCTTTGATTTTAACGTGCCAAGACAGCTGTCACTTTAATGCGATCATTTCCTTCACATTCACTTCCACTTTGCAGTTTTGAGCAGTTTCTCTGACTACAAAACAAATTGTCTTTGTGTGTTTATGTGTGTGCCCACACGTAGTTCATTTTTATTAACTTCTTATGCACACATCTAGACTAGACATGTAGTTTACATCCAGTCTATAAAAGCCAGCAGAATAGTTGAGTTGCAAGAGGCAGGGTGAATTAAATGAACTTCCAGGCTACTCCAGATCTCATTAGAAAATAAAGTGTAGTAGTCAGAGTAAATCCTGAAGGGCTGGCTGAATGTAGAACAAGCGGTGGCAGCAGCAGTGGTACAGAATGTCCATTGAAAAATGATTCACTTCTGTTCTCAGACGCAGACTTTCACTGAGGTGAGATGCTGGTTCACCTTGTTCACAGCCACAGCAGCAGCTCATACACATGTATTGGGATAAACACATTGATCTGCTGAATATAAAGATAATTCATTTGTGTTGTATGTTGTATGAACAGCAGCCTACTCACAGACTCATCTGTGTCACATGTAGCAGGCACGTAAACACTTCACCCCTCCACTACCCCAGCTTACATTCCAGCACACTGAAGACACAGCCTGCCACACTTTGACCTTCCAGACTTTTATTATAGTCACTTAGGAGATGACACACAGAAACACACACACAAACACTGCATTCAGCGATGACAAACTTTGCCCTTTGCTTTGTGTGTTTCATGTCTGTGTGTTACTGATGCTGCCTGTGGCTTCCAGGAGACCAGACTGCAGGCAGCTGCATGTCTCCACACTGTCAGACAATAGTGGGCTGGCACACGCATCAGAGTGGGGGTGAAGAGCATGTGAGTGTGTGTGTGTGTGTGTGTATGAGTGTGTTGGGAATGGAACTTGTCTAATGAGGGTTCAAAAAGCTCATTAACTGCATACCAACTAAAAAGGGATCACATAGCAGTTGGGATGGATTTCATTTTTTTTTGCCAGAGCTTAGTGACTGTGCTGACCAGAAGTCAGGGGTGTTTACAAATGAATGTGTTCCCCACCAAGTAAATATTTAAGTTACATGAATGGGCACACAGAACACAAATGAGGGTTAGTTATTCAAAGTGTCTGCTGACCCTTTCACGAACCTGGTATTATCCTACAATCCAATCACAGATGGGCATATGCAAAGCACAGGTCAAAATGAAAATTTGTTCACAAAAATCCCCAGTGGGAGGCAGTTGTGTGATGCATGTGGTCACATTCTTCTGCATGCATGAACGCATTTTGTCCTCGGGGCACCATAAAACCCGTCTCCTCAGCTGACATCTTGCAATCTACTGTAGTCAAGGAATTTTTATGATTCTTAGGGCCAAAACATAACCTTCTTAGCAAATCCAGTCAGTCACAACTTCACTGCTTTTTATGATAATTGAAGTGATTTTGACAAGTCGTCACCTAGAATAATGCATTTTAGGTTCTTTGCAGCTCTCGAGCCAGACGATGCCTGAAGGACTATTTAGCTTGCTTGCTAACGGCAAAACAATTTTCCTAGCTTAACATTTATTTAGCTGATAGAAAAAGAGGGACTGTAATCAGTAATTTATTTTAATCAAACTTAATTTAAAAAAAGCAATAACCCATTGGATTAGGGACATGAATTGTTTTATATTATAATTGTTGTTGCAGAACATGCCAACAGAGATTTCCCTAGTCTACAATGACCTGTGACATGTACAACAACTGAAGAACCCTCTCTCTGTCTGACCAGTCTTTGATGGAGCGGTCAGTCTAGTGTCACCTGTTGTAGCTGCTTTCTTTTCCGGTACATGTTAGGGCTGTGACTTGACCAATCCTTCTGTATTTCGTATTTATTCTGCTCACATCTTTCCTTAATTTGGTGGAGTTTGGTATAGAGAGGCAGAGAACTACCACAGTCCTTCTTAGAGGTTCTTAGAAGTAGTTTTGCTGCAGGCGGAAACACTAACAGCTGGTTGTGGAGTGCAGGCCTCTCCTCGAACTATGTTAAATGTTGTGAGGTAAGTTGGGGGTGGCTATTGGGAGTGTGGGTGTGGGGGGTCTGAGTCACCGTGGGTGGGTTAATGGTCATGGACCATGTGGAATTTGCCCCTTTGTAAAAGGAAGTCCCCTCTCTGTTGCTTTTAGCACCTCCTAGCTTTGCATGGAAAAACACGGGCTGCTTCCTGAAACCTCAGACAAAGTGTCTGCTGACGTGTGTGTGTGTATGTGTGTGCAATGTGCATTCATGTGTATTAAACTTGAGAACTACGGCTTTCACTATATAAGTGTTAAACTAGCACTAATGTCAGTGGTTGTCAGTATACTCTTTATAAAGCCTTAATTAAATAATTTTATTGATACATACAGTTTCTGAGCACTGGGTTGAACTATTTTTGGGTAAATGTATTGGGTGCTCAGTGTTTTTTACCTCACCAATATACATTTGAGGGCTTTGGGATCAATTCCTGGGCAGTTTTATGCTTCATGTTGTTCAAGTTAATTCTATATAATGTACAATATTAAGCAGTTGCTGAATTGGGGAGATTATTTTGGTACTCTGTGTGTTAGCTATTTTTTTCCTTTTGTTTTTTATGGCCATATATTTCAACTTTTCATTCTAATATATATATAAAAAAAAAAAACAACAACATGTCATCCATGCAAAATAGCATGCAATTTGTAGATGTAAATTGTCTATTTTTAGCTCAGATCCTATGCTAATCTTGGATGTTGTTCCTGAGTAAAGACAAAAAATGAAAATGACCTCTGTGCTGAAGCTGATGACACATAATGATAACTGTAGTTACAGCAGAGCTGCAGGTCCCATGGTGCAGCCGGCCACCCTAATGCCAAGCTGTTGACTCAAGCTGAAATAGTGTTGGGATGACATAAGTTTTAGTCATCTGACAAATGTTGAGGGGCACTGAGTGTTGTTTAATGTGACATCTGTGAGGGAGGAAGTACCTCAAGTAAAGGAAATCATGACTCACTTTGGCCAAGAAAAGACTACTTTTAGTGTGTGTGTGTGTGTTTGAAGGAAAAAAAGACATATCAGAAAATACAACTGATTTCCTCAGCAACCAAAGAAGCTGCTGGAATGAGACGGCTCTATAATGAGACGTTGTGTTGTGTCTCGTTGCTGGCTTAAAGGATAGCGCTGCCTGCTCACATGGTTGCTAATATTAGCGTGGTGGTTGCTTTTTGTGGTGGAGATTCAGACACAGGAGCAAAACACCCAGAGCCATCAGTTCCACTCAGATAACAGACCCAAGCTGGATTTGCAGCAATGTCAAAAAAAAATATAGCATTTCAAATTAAATGACCAAAAATAAATCTTGCTGTGGCAAAATGCTTGAGGAATTTGATAAATTGACTTCAAAAATGAGGATTTTTAGTGCCCTTGGCAATATGTACTGTCAAGACTCTCTTAAGGCCTGTGAGAACATTAGACTGAACTTTCGCAACATAAACAAGTTTGAGTTTGTTTGAAGTGAATGTTACTGTTTTTTAAATGTCAGACAAACAAACCTTTAAAAAAGGTGAAGAAAATAAGCAACAGCTAAAATTATGGGCAAGAGATATCTAATATTTTGCCAATTTTACCTTGGGAAGAGCAAATAAATTAGCGATTTAATTACACATCTGTGCTTTGGTTTAAAGATAATTACCGCTAACATAAAACTGACACAAAATACATAGGATGAGAGAAAATCATGCTCAGGTTTATGTCATATTTTCAGAATGGCATACATTGAGGAACAGCTTGGTCAGGTTGTCTCTGATTGAATTTAACTGACAATTAAAATAAAAAAAGAGCAACTGTCTCTCGGCGTGTTGAGTCAAGGTGTAGTAACGATTGTAATGTTGGAGTCAAACCCTCGGTGCTGTTGTTTCATCTGCATTTCTCAGAAACAGCCACGAGTGGTTAGGCAGCCGGTGCATTGTGCAGCAACACTTTGATGCATGTGTGTGTGTGTTGAGGCTCTAGCTGTGTAACACTAAGTGGTAAAAACATTCTCTCGGGCAGTTTTTATTTTTTTCCCCTCTTTTGTGTGGGTCAGTAATATGTCACATGCCACACTGAGTGGAAACAATTCCATTTATTTAATGAATTTCTTCTGCTTTGAGGGATTTCTATTCTTTGTAACAGAAGACTGGATCAAACAACTGCAAGCTGTTGGACCTGTCCTGCATGTGTGTGTGTCTTTGAGTGTGTGAGTGCATATCTGCCCACAAGAACAGGTGATTAGTGTGCGCTGTTTATTTAGCTCTTTGGAAGGGTCACCTGTTGATTTCCCACACAACGTGTAACCACAAGCACAGCAAAAAGCAATGTGTTTGTTTTCACAACAGGATTAAGGACCACAATGTGAAAATAGGAACAAAAAATGCAGTATTTAGAGAGGAATTCTCCAGAGAAATGTTATGCCCGTGTCACAAGACTAAGGAAAATGTTTTTTATAGTACAACACAAGTGTTGCCTCCATAAATCCTGCTCCGTTAATGCAGATCATTGTGGCCATATTTCTATCCTTTGGGCTATTTGTAAATTTTAACAATCTGACAGACATATTATTTGTGTGGTCAGGAACACAGGTTGCAGATATGCAGCATGTGTTGATGCAATTTTTGACCCGTGGATCTTTAAACTCTTCAAGTGTGTGCAAACAAGGCTGTGTGTACCTCCGTCTCTTTTTTAAGTCACCTCCTTTCACCCTGGTTTGACCCCTTGTACCGCTGCC